AATTGCGCTTGCTTATGAAAAGGAGACATCACACTATTGATACTGAATTTGATATTGGCCAATCTACAATTAGAGAGACTATGCAGATGAAAAGGAAATTTTGGTGATTAAAAACCATCTTTAATTCCCTTTGTTATAACTGGCAATATGATTGGATATCCTAAGTTTAATTTACGAGTATTGGAGTATCACCCCCCAAATTATTTTATGCTGGCCAATTGCGCTCAAATGGAAAAATATTGTGAGAACATCTAAATGTATTGTGTCACACCAAGCCTCATTTTATGGGCATTCTTTTGAAGCTGTTGGAGTTTTCTAAGAAAAGATAGAAATAATGCAAATTTTATTCTAATGCTGACGTATTACTAAAAGCAAGGTTAACGATATTTATTAAAGCACACATATCTGTATTTCGTATTTATATCTTGGCCATGAACATAAATTAATGTCCTTGATCCTTTTTTTTGGGTAAATCTTAAGTCTTAACTTATGCCTATTTGGCATCTGACATTATTTGCAAATTAATCTTTTTATTTTAAGCAAATGTTCTTAAATCTGCTGAGTTATTGCGACTACACGTAATAATGATATGTTACTTTTTTGAGATAGTTCCCAATTATTGTGACTTTATCTTTTTCATTTCTTCAACTTATGGCAATCCATTAATCATATCCCCCTTTTACAAAATGTTCTTGTGATCAGCTACTGTGGATCTTAAACATTTTCGTATCAACAATTGTAAAATTTATTTTTGGATTGAGGAGCAATATCAAGCCTACAATGTTTATGCTGTCGTTTTAACTCGATAAGGGTATTATATAATGATCCCTTAAGTGTGCTGATCAGCGGAATTTTTTTAAAAAATACAGACCTTTTTTTTAATTCTACAGAATGGATTTAATTTTTTAATCAGCACCATTCGATTGCTGCCAATAATTCTTAAAAATATAGATCGGTATTCGACAACTTTCTGTTAAGGAGATACTTCTTGAATCCATATCCAATAAGTCCCAACTTTATTCGTTCTCAATGCTCTAGAAAAGTCTAGGATTGCTGAAATTCAATTTTATCATGTTAGGAAGAGGATGTAGGTTCTATTGTGGATTTTTTACACATAACATTTCCATCCCTCTTGAAGTCAATATCAAAGTTACCTCTTTTAAAATTTGATTTTTTGTATCACAACTTTTATTCTAAGCTTGTTTTGCACTCTATACATTTTCCTTTTGTTCTAAGTACTTCTTCTAATTCAAGCCTTCATAAATAAATGCTAACATTTATATTATGAAAATGCTCCACATGAGGTTTTATCTAAGTGACCCAAAGTGCCTTGGCATAATTTTAATTCTAAATCTGGATCAAATTTGTCATTTTATTATTTTGCCACCTTTTCTCCTTCTATCTATTATCTCATGAGACACAGCATAGCAAATTAATATACCTACTGTATTGCTTGCTAATTTGAAAACAAATCATATATACATATCTATTTTGAAAATTTTCGACTCCATATGAAAAAAACCCCGTAAGCATTTATACATAAGCTTTATATATTATAAAGCTGAGTTGTGCATTAAATATAAATATTCAAGAAATAATTATAATGCATGAGACAAATATTAATTGATAAAGAATTATAGTTAAGCATACATTAAGGTTTTTAGGGATATAGACAGAATAATTAAATTATAGTTGACTTTTCTTCCCTTTATATCTCCATTTTTGCAATGTCTTGAGTTATTCTACATAAAATTATATTAAGAAAGCTTAGAGTAGGATAGCCACTTTATAGAACAAGATTTGAGGGAGAAATTTGGTTGAAATGGTTGCAACGTTATTAACAAAATGATTTAAAAGTTAAGTAAGGATGAGTACATTATATTCCTTTATAAAATAAGAATAAGAATCTTTAGAATATTAGTTTAAACTATCTTTGAATAAATATGTAATCGAACGGAGTGGATGACAAGTTGAAGGTCTATTTGTTTCAGCATAGCAGTGAGTGACAAATGACAGCATTATAATTCCTTTTTTCCTCTAAGAAACATAACCCAATAAGGCTTAAGGCGATTGAAAA